GACTATTCCAAAGCCGGGGGGCTTTGTATGAGAAAGCGTTCCCCCCTGACGTAACTTTATTAATTCTAGGTACTAATAGTAAGCCAGCACCTTGTGATCTCAGTAGGCGGGATGGTTCATAGTGAGAGAGAAGTTCACTCAGGTATTATTCATGAATAATCTTACTGTTCTTGTCAAAATTTTCAAATGCTTTTTAATTCATAGCTGTCAGTGTCAACTTACAGAGCTCTTTTTGTGATTTACATTTTCCACTGTCTGCAATCAAAGTATCAAACTTTTTTTGGCAGCCATTTTAAATTTAGAAAGTAGTCCATCTGGGTTGAATTCAATTCGACAGCTGAATGGAAATCTGGCTATTGTGACTACAGACAGACATGTAAGTGTTATAACTTGTTTCAGTGTCTCAGGTTTTACTTTTTCACATTTGGATGATGCTGATTAGAGCTTTACAAGAGCAGTTTGGAATTCAGGTAGCAGCCAGTTTATATATTGTTTAAATATACAACCCCATTTCCATAAAAAGTTGGGATGCTGTGCAGAATGTAAATAAAAATAGAATGCAATGATATGCAAATCATGTAAACCATATTTTTAAATACTACAAAAACAACATTGCAAACATGGAAACATTGTTGCAAATGTTAAAACATTGTTGAAATATTGTTTTTGAAAAAATATTTGCCCATTTTGAATTTGATGCCCACAACACCTTCCAAAAAAATTGGAATGGGGGCATGTTTACCACTGTGTTTCATCACCTCTTCTTTTAACAACACTCTAAGTGTTTGGGAGCTGAGGAGACCGACTGCTTTCTGAGTTCTTTGCTATTTTATGTTAAGAAACGTTATTTTTGAATTGTTGCACTGTTTGCCTGTACAGTCTTTCACAGAGTGGTGAACCCCTCCTCATCTTAACTTTTGAAAGACTCAGCCTCTTTGAAATGCTTTTTTATACTCGATAATGCCGGTTAAACACCAGGTGTTTTTTTTTTCTTTTTTTTATCACTACACAACGTTACCAGCCTTTTGTTGCACCTATCTAACTTTTTGGAAAGTGTTGTTGGCATCAAATTTTGCACAGCATCCCAACTTATTTGCAAATGGGGTATATATATATATATATATATATATATATATATATATATATATATATATATATATATATTTATGTGTGTGTATATATATATGTGTGTGTGTATGTGTGTGTTTGTGTGTATTATTATTATTATTAGTATTATTATTATTGTTGTTGTTGTTGTTATTAAATATGATATGACTATGCAGCAAGTTTTGGGAGTATTTTCCTAGACATATATATGATGAGATTACTGAAACGAACATCCTTAGAGTAAAAAATCAAGTAACTCTAGACAAAGAGATTGTTCAGTTACATTCTAACTGTGTTAAAACTGTAAATTATCCTTCTAAGTTTTAATTTCTTATCTCTTCTCACTACGGAGGAGATTACATGTTCTGGCACTGTGAAACCCAAGTGAGTAAAAACCATAGTAAAAGCACTGAGGAGAATGAAAGAGGTCAGTATTGGTCAGTACTTATGGTGCATGGGATCTGAGAATACTTCATCAAAAAAGAATTTTGCATATTCAAGTGATCATTTAGATCAATATAAGGCAGGAAAATATGAATTGTGTTCTGCAATAAGGAAAGCGAAGATGTGCTATGCAAAGCGGTTGGAGGAGAAGGTGAAAATTAATGAGCTAGATCAGTTGGAAAAGTCTGAGGCTGATGACCAATTATAAAGCACTGTCTCTGCCTGTACCAGACAATGATGTGGACTTAACAAACAAATTAAATCTGTTATATGCACGATTTGAAAAGAATCCATCTTTGATTATGCCTTGCTCTTTATTATTTTTTGAGACATTTATAATTTACTGACAATTATGTACGTGTTCTTTTCATAGATTTCAGCTCAGCTTTTAAGATGGTGAATATCAAAAAGTTAATGGATTTAAACATAAACCCAGCTTTATGCAATTGGTTTCTGTCCTTTTTAAGTGGAAGGAAACAGTCTGTTAAAATCAATAACTTAACATCAGTGTTTGTCACTCAGTACAGGCGTGCCTCAGGGATGTGTACTGTGTACTACACTAATGATCTGGTATCTCACAGTGAATCTGTTAAAATTGTGAAATACGCAGATGATGCCACCATAACAGATCTTATTACAGACATATATAGATCAGTAACATGGTGTACTAACAATGACCTCCAGTTTAATACATCAAAAACAGTGGAGATCATTGTGGATCATAGGAAGACACAGAATGTAAAAACCCAGTGAAAATCCAATCTCGTCCAGTTTACCGTATTTTTCAAACTCTTCCCTCTGGGAGATGCTATAGATCCATAAAAACCAAGACATCCCGCTTTAAGAACAGCTTTTTTCCCCACTGCTGTAAGGTTACTAAACTCCTGAGTAGTGTAAATATAGTCTGGCTGTAAGATTTCTAGCATTTGTAAGAATGCACACGTGAAATTACTGTTAAATCTTGTATACTGTGTATTGTATTGTATATTGTTTACTGTACATGTATTATATTGTATATTTATGTGTGTTGTGCTACAACAGAGTTGAATTACATCTTGTTGCACCGGATACAATTACCACCGACATGTCCTGTGGCAATAAAACAAAAAAGTTAAGTCATGCATTTGGACGTCTTTGTCAGCTTGTAGAGCCGCACAATTGCCACATCAGTACTAAGCAGACTTTTTTTGTGCTGTTAAAAATGTAATAAATCAGTATTAAACTAACCTTTATCACAGTTTACAACATTATCACAATATTATATTAAGAAAAAAAGGCTACGAGCTCCCGTGTGGCGCAACCGTCTAACGTTGGCCTTATCAACAGGAGATCGCGAGTTCGATCCCTGGTGATGCTACAGCCATCCGTAGCCGGGAGTCCAAGAGAACACAGGCGTCTGTTATCTGACGTCACAGATCTGTCGGTTGGCGCTTTCCTCCAAGTGCGTTCAGCTGTCCAATGACGTTGCGTGAGCGGCAGTTCGAAAAGAAGCGGTGACTGGCTTCACGGGTCTCAGAGGAACCCTGTGTTGGCGTTGATGGTGTGATTGGGGGAGTCCTAACTAGCGGGTGGAATTGGCGACGGCTAAATTGGGGAAATAACTGGGTTAAAAAAAAGAAAAAAAATGCTACAACAATACAAGGTGAGGTACAACATATCATGAGAAAAATAAATTCTTCAAAAGTGATTTAATTCATTTGGAACCAAACCCTTCATTTATTGCTATCTGACAGGCCCTGCTTATTCTCTGCATGTAGGCTGAATGTTATAATCATTTACATACATTATGATAGAAATATTAAAGTGTCACTGATATATTAACTATTTGTAAGGGATCAGCCTGTGTCACCGCTGCCCACCAGCAGAGAGCATGCTCCTTTTTTGGCTTTTCCCACCATTTTCTCACTCCAGGTCTTAGGAGTGTAACTCCTCTTGTCGTCTGAGCCCCACCGTGATACAGTGATAACACATTATAGAATCTGTTATCATCACCACAAGATATAAACTGATAGTCTGATACCTCAGTTTTTGAGCTTATATAGGTTGTGATTTATTGCTGCTTTGTTTTGTGTTTCAGAGAGTCAGAGCAGTTCTGTCTCACATACAACTGAATGATTCCACAAACACTGAGATCCTGGAGGTGTTGAGATTTTAAGAAGCTATTCTGCAGCTTTTGTATCTGAGCTTTTGTTGTGGGCAGAGCAACAGGTCCATCAGCAATGTCAGTTTAGAATGTATTTCTTCTTCTTCTTGCATAATGAGCTCCTGTTTTGACAGCTGTTTTTAATTTTATTGGTCTCTCTGAACAAACTCCAACCCTGACTACACACTAAAAACTCAGCCAACAGAGTCTCACACAAACCCAACAATCAGTTCACGTCACTCCCGTCCTCTACCAACTGCACCACCTCTCATCCAAAATTCAGTATATAAACCCAATTCCAGAACAAGTTGGGACAGTGTGTACAACGGCAATATAAACAGAAAGCAGTGATTAATAAATTCTGTTGAACTGTATTAAATTACAAACAGTACAAAAACATAGTATCTGATGTTTTACATTGTGAACTTCATTGTTTTTGTGTATATATATTTTTTCCCCAATATGAAATTAGAACAGGAGCGTGTTTGTCACTGTGTTACATCTTTCCAGTGACCTACTGCTTTTTAAGTGACATGAAACTAAATGCAAAACTATGATCCTCACATTTATTCATAATTCTTTTTGGAAAACTGTAAAGTTCATTCAGACTCTGTTTATATAAAAGCAGACATACTCTCTTCAAAAATGTTCTTGAAATTTTGTATTTAAAATGGAAGTGATTTACTAATGTGAAGCTATAATAGCTTAGATTAGTGTAAGTTTCAGGAGACCCATTTCTCAAGTGTACATTCTCACAGTTTTGTGTATAAACCTCACACACATTTTTATGCACAGAACGTGATGTAGCTATTTTCGTGTGTGTGTGTGTGTGTGCGCGCGCGCGTGTGTGTGTGTGTTTAAATGTGTAAAACTTAGATGTAGAACTACTGCTGATCATGTGTATATAGAAACCCCTAGAGGTAGAAAAGATATGATGCACAAACTCTCATTAATTATCAGCTATTTCAGTATAAGTGACAGAAGGATTGGTTTCAGTTGGTTTCAGTTGTTTTAACTTTTAATCCACATTGAGACATTATACATCATTTTAATTCACATCTGCAGTTCAATGTAAACAAGAAAAATATTATACACATAGAAATAAATGTGGAATTTTATTAAATGTAAAAAAAAAACTACTGTTCTTTCCTTGTAGACATTATAAACTAGAATTAAAAATCTGCAAACTGAAGTGAAACTGTAATTATTTAATGTTTATATTTAATTTTTACATGTAAAATAAGTTGTATTTTTATCAATAAAAACACTTTTTCACATGCAACACTTCTGCTTTTTAAATGCTCCATAGGCTACTGAGGAAGTTGCTAATCATATATATACTCCAAACTTGTAATGTCACAACAAATATCTCAACACTTATGACAGCAAATATTCCACTGACCTCAGATGTAGTAAATGAGCCAAGACATGACTGGTGCCCAAATTCTGCTTCTTTACTTTAGCACTGGATCTACAAGGCTAACATTGCTAACAAACACTAGAAATCAATGGTCAATTTTTATAAATGAGTGTCAATCTTGAGTGTTTGACCTGAAGATGATGTTTAAAAATGTAAACAGAATCACTAATGTAGTGTGTGGTGTGCATGAATGCAAAGAGGAGTCAGATTTTGTAGGGTATTCAGAATTCAGCACAACACCTGTAAAGTGGACGCCTACAGCATTCAGCTACACAAGGAGGTTTTTGCATTTCTGTAATTCGCAGTAAGTCATTCTGTGTCCTAAACCACATCAACAAGTCCTCACAACTTTAATGAAGACCTAGATGTGGTTTGAAGTGGGTGGAGAGACATTTTAGGCATGTGGATTTATGAAAAGATTTGTGTGACTATTGACTTTTTGTGTTTGTTAGCAGTAATAAGCCTGTTTGCTAGTTTCTTTTTAAATTTTTACACATTTTCACTCTTAAGCTCTTTGCCTTCATTTTTTCTTATGAAACTATATTCTATCGCTTTTATTCATGTAAAGCATATTGAATTGCCTTTGTGTATGAAATGTGTTTATATAAATAAATTTGTCTATGTCACCCAAATAGATTTTGGAACATCAAACATAGCTTGACCAATCGGCAACATTTGGGGTACAACTGATTTTTCATTCATTTGAATAACAGTCGATTATGGGCCGTCACAGCAGATGTATTTTGACCTTCACTCTGAGACTCTCTCACCTCTTACTTCAAAACTACAGAGCTGTAGATCACCTCATCATCTCCGACTGACTGGGAGAGCTGGAAAATAGGACAGGTTTAGAAATATTGGAGCATCTAAACACATAATATATTGCTATCTTTATATTTTTTCTCAAACACTTCAACCAGCTAATGTCCACTCAACTCGAACTATCAAGTGATCAAAACTGTGATCTGTTACTGATGATAATGGGTGTATTTAACACTTAGTTTTCTTTTTTGGTAGTTGTGGTTACACTGCTGTAGATCACATCATTTTCATGATCCGATGTAGATAAAGGCTGTGGACATAATTCACTCTAGTTTAGGAAGAAAGAATTTTTTGGGTAGATCAGTAAAAAGTGTGTGGGCCAACATGGTAGATATAATTTCCAAACACACTGTAACATCAGGCTATAGCCTACGGCTGACAGCAGTGCAGTCATCACCCTACCAATGCTTTCACCCTATGGTGATATGAAACAATAGCATACACATCAACTGTATACACATCAACTAGAATGTCTGATTCACATAAACACAGCCAACACTGCAACACCTTTTCTATAAGGCATGCATCCACTCACCACAGAGACTATTTTTACCCAATGAAGACAACTGGGGTACATTTGACAGATGAGATGTACAAAGAAGAGGAACAACACCTAAACCTACTCAACCTATGCTAATTACTGCCATAACAGGCAGGAAAATGTTGATGGACCATTTATGTCATACCTTTGATGACAAAGCCCATTGTAGCTTTTGTGATAATAAAAAAAATTGAAAATGGGCAGAAAAAAAATCCAATTTCATAAATATCCTTTCAGCATTTGATTGGGTAGCCAATGTAGGCCTACCCGTGTCTACAGCCCTGATATACAGTTGTGTGTAAAAAAAATATATATATAGTCTTACCTTTTTATTTTTATGAATCACAGTGCTGTGTATCACTGAGCTTTCAGTCATAGGTGTCTGTTTTACACAAACAAATGTTGTTTTACACAAAGTCAAAATTAGATGACCAAAAAGGATCCATAAAAGTATTATATTCATTTTCTACACACAAATGAGCTTTCAACACTCTTATGAAGTCTGAAGAAAGAGAGGCACAACACTAACTACTGCACCGTGGCTTTAACCACCAAAAGCAAATATGCACCATAACCACAATACTGACTGTGTCAACTGAAGTGTTATTGACCCTCCCTCTGGTCTCTGTTTGATTTCCATCTGTTAGAGTGAGAGAGAGTGAATTAGATTATCGTACACACTAGTCATTATTGATGAATTAGTTATCTACTTATGTAATAACACAACATTCATAGTACACAAGATAGCGTAACATGGACATTTGGTAATAGTCATTAACCCCATCCTTTCTAATAGCAACATTTTAAAAGCATGCCAAAAATGTCCTGTAAGAAAATGGTAGATAGTGAAAACTTACTGCACTTTTTTCTCAGCATGCAGGTTATAATGATGGTCAGAAACAGCAGCAGCCCCAGGCCTACAGCCAGTAGAACCCAGATAAGCACGGTACTTCCATTGCTGCAATGAATAATATCTTTCACTGATAACCTTACATTAAACCTAACATTTTTAAAATACACATGCTGCCAAATAAGTTTTTTGTATCTAAAGTATAGAATGAATAAAAGTTTGGTTCATCAACATTTGACTTGTGTAAATTACTTGTGTTGCTTTCTCTCACTTAAATCACTTAAATCTTTCTCATAAGTTGTTACTGCAGAAGAGGCAGCTGATCTGCAGAAAGCAAAAGAAAAATAACATGCTGTATTGAAGTGTGAAAAACCACGCCACCATAAAAAAATCGAGCATCACACATAAGGGCCAGTGTCTATGCTACCTGCACGCTCTAGCACTGTTTATAACACATCACATATTGCAGAGGACTATATGAAGCAATAGCACAATCCAGTTAGAGCTAAAATAAAAAACAATCTCCAACATAACCTCACACGTGCCTGCTTCTGCTCAACATCGCAATGCACTGCTTCTCTTTTTTTTGAGTTTCATTTTATGAATGCTTCTTAAAGCTCTAGTGACGGGCATAGTGTTTTGTTTTTATTTATGTCCGTAATTTTGAAATGTATATGGTTAGATGTTATGTTAATCCAATAGCTTTACCTTAATGCAGGCTTTGATACTACGCAAAAGTTTTACACTGAGGTCTCGTGATGCGCGCATGTTTTTTTTGTGTGTTTTTCCCTTAAGAAAACGAGGGAGCCGCACGGTTTTCTGACCACGTCGCTGTGCCGTGGACTGAATTTAGATTTGGGAACACGTGGAACTAAGATGCACGTTTGTTAAGCTGTATTTTTTCTTTTGCAACTGAAATAGAGTAATAAAGTCAAGGACTGTACCGAGGATCCGTGTGGTTCGGGTGGATAGGCTACCAGTATGGAACACGCGTCAGTTGCACAGCTCAGCCTTTACTTTCGATTTGAAACCCTACTACACTACTAATACCCTTAATTTCAGAAGAAATGTTGGATGATTAGGTGTCTACAAACTTTTGGACATAGTGTAAGTTAGGATTGCTTACATTTAATGTACTCACTAAACTAAAGAGAGACACATCCTGGTTCATGTATTTTGACTTATCGTTCAGTAATAAACGTTTTCATTGATATCTGAAATATACAATCAATAAAGGTTCGGTTCATCTGCTTTTCACTTACTTATCTTGGTTCTTCTCACTGTTGTTTGTGTCATGTCCCTTCTCAAAAGCTGTTACTGCAGGAGGGTCAGATCTTCTACTGCAAAAAGCAAAGAGCAAGTGTGTGAAAAAGAGGTGTGAAAGTACAGCTATTTTTAAAGTCTAACACCACTTCCAGGACTGCACCACTTAAATGTGTTGCAGAATGGAAACACATGGTAAACTATGTCCAAAAGTGTCAGACAGCCGTTCAGCTACTTTAAAGTTGAACCATTTAAGTTAAACTGCACACATGTAGCTTGTATATTCTCTTTAGACAAGCACTGTTAATATAATGGATGCTCTGGGGAAGACGATCTTAAGGTCATCATGCCCAATGCCAGAGGTCAACTAGTGGGCAATAATCCCCCCAGCAGTGGTTCTGTGGAGCAGTGGAACTGTGTTCTCTGGAGTGAGAAAGTTCCATCCAACACCTTTGGGATAACAAAGTGAGTGTTTTTGTGATCCTGGACTAATCATCTAACATCAGTACCTGACCTCACTAATGCTCTTGTAATTGAATGCAATCAAATCCTCATAAGAATGGTCAAACATCTGGTGTCTAGAACTCCCAGAAGAGTAGAGGCTGTTATTGCAGCAAAGGGGTACAAACTCCCTATTAACACCCACTAACACTACTGCAGGGCCGTGTTCATAAGGCTACATGACAATTACATAATGCTTTCATTACATAAACATTTATAAAAGCTTATTCCAAAAAAACAGTAGCTGTCACAAAGACAACTTCAATGTCAAGTTGATGCAACACCTGAAGTGACAAGTGTTTTGATGATTGATGACAATAAGTGTTGTCATAACACTTTCTGGGGTTAAAAAAAACAGTACATTATGACAGCTGACTTTTTAGTGGCTTTTTAATTTGTCTCCTGTTTCTAGTAGAGTGCATTTCACAGGCAGTTCTTGAAGTACCATACTGGACATTTTAAACCTGATAAAATGACCCGAAACCATCACACATCAAGGTAGTTTTTCAATGAGAACTGGATATTGAGTATGGGAAAGCAGTTCCTTTATAGCACCACCTCCAAGAGAGAAAAGAGTTTGAGAGCAGTACCAAAGTAGTACCAAAGAAATGAATCATCTGCTGTCTTGCTGTTTCGTTTCACACATACTCTCACTGAACTTTTTGGGAAACATACCTAAAATAATTATTCAGACCAAATTATTCAATTAATTCAATATGTAACTGCAATGATTTTGGTTGAAACTGATTGACAGACCACTTTCTTGACTAATAGTAAAATAATTTGACATGGGTATTTAATGTCTTGTATTTATAGTGAAGACAGTATAGCTGTGGTTCCCCTGGTCCTGAAGAACAACTTTCCTGCAGAGTTTAATTCCAACCTAACATGCTGCCCCTTCCCTTACATAACACTAATGCACCTGATCCAGCCAAACAGGAACGTCTGAAGAAGTTAATTAGCTGGAGCAGCTGTGGCTGATGGTGGTTGGAACTAGACACTGCAGGAATGTAGCTCTCTCCAGGATCTGAGGATCAAAGGATCTGGGGATCTGATCAGGATCAAAATGGCGATCATGTATATGTAATTTTGATGATTGTAAAATAGTCATAAATGAAAAAATTGAAAAAATTAATTTTCTTTGGGGAATACTGTGCAAGGCACTGCGTGTACATGTCTACCATGAACGGATTAAAGTAAATGGATTCAAATAAATTATTAAAATCCATTTTCAGCAAAAACTATCACAAAACTATCATAAAACAATGTGTAGGCAGTGTAGGCAGCATATCTAACCTTTTCATGTAAAAACTTTCTGTGAGGGAGCTTTAAGGTCATTAAACTCTTCAGACATTGGGTTCTTTTCACCTTGACTGTAAACAATTCTGACTCAGCAAGTTTTTCTAGAACATAGCATTTTACATCAAAACACTCTGAATGACTTTACATGTCAACAATTTAATTTAATTAAACCAGTTCCATTTTAAATATTTGCAACTGGCCTCACTTGTCAAGTTATGTAATATAATTACCATCATGTCTTTAACATGCCAAAAAATACACTGAGATACAAACTCAGCTGTCATGTTGTTCTATTATTTCAACCCAGAAGGTTTTATGACATCTAAATGTCAGCAAAAACCTATCTTTTGCCATAGGTGTTATGGCAGATTAAAAGGGAAGTTGACAATAGCAGCCTTTATGACAACTGCTTCTTATTGGCATAAGTCTTTATAAATGTTTGTGTAGGTTTAAGTCAGTTGTCATGAAAGGCTAATGCAGGTTCTCATGTAGCCTTATGAACAGTAAAGTGTTACCTAATAAACTTGATTCCAGAAGAAACGCTGGATGAGTTAACATTGCTACATTTGCCGTACATTTTACAGAGCCACGTTTAGAGGAATGGCGGTGAGTTTAAATAGTTGAAACACAGGAGCTGCAGATATTACAGGGTTTAGGCTTTCTCTTTAAAACAGATCAACACTGCCGACATTTAAACCACTGTTTTACCTTCTAGAAATTATTGTTTTACAGGGTGACTAAAATCAATAAAAGTTCAGCTCATCTGAATTTCACATACTTATCTTGCATCTTCCCACTCTTGCTTGTGCCATGTTCATTCTCAGAAGCTGTTACTGCAGGAGGGTTAGTTGTTCTTCAAAAAGCAAAGAGCAAAAACAGGCTATATTGAGGTGTGAAAGTACAGCAGTTTTTGAACGCTTACACAAAGTAGAATGTCAATACTTACAGCTCTGCTGTTGTTGTCTCTTTATTTCTGCTCACAGGTGTAGAACCTAGAAGTGCAAAATAAACATTCATCAGAGGTGGCAGAAATACACAAGTTCCTTACTTAGGCAGAAGTAGTAGTAATTTAGCAAAAAAAGTAGAAGTATGACTTAGATTTTTTACTCAAGTAGAAGTATATAAGTATATGCTCCTAAACATACTTAAAGTATAAAAAGTACAAGTATTTGTTTTTTTTAAATGATTGCTAATCATTCAATTTTTTAAAAAGGATACATTGTTGTTGAGTGTACGTAATGGTCATAATGATTTATAATAGAACTACAAGCATCACCCACAAAAATCCAGAATTTGAGATGGACATTGTTGGAATCTCAACAAAGAAAAACTGTTGATTTTTACTTTAGCAGTCAATACTGAACACCAGATCACACTGTAGGTGTATTCACATTTATAATTTTTCATTTTTTTTTTTAATATATTTGTACGTGTTTCCTGTCACACAGGTAGGGGAATGAAATAAGTTCACATAAGCACTATATGATGAGTTAAGAGGACCTATGATAGGAAGTATTTGTTTGATGGTGAGAAACAGTGAATATGTGAGAATAATAGTATAATTTTGTGACATCCAAATACTGTGAAATGGCGAACGCTCGTTGGCTGGTTGTTCTTTCACCAAGTATTAAAACGTTTCAGCTTATAATAGTTTATAGTGGTTCCGTTTGCATGTGGAGAGAGTAAGTGGATAAACTGGTCATGCTTAAGGGACTGTAAAGTTCATTTCGCTAATGCTAAAAGGATTAAGAGCTATAATCTCTAAAAACTCTTACCTACCAATCCTTATATTGCTAAATTTCTTTCGGGATCAATAAAGTATCTAGCTATCTAGCTGTATAATAAAACAAGCTGGAGTCCAGTTAGCTTTAACCTCCGCTAGCTTTAGCCTGTTAGCTCGTATGGAAAAACTATAGCCTCCTCTGGCTTTAACCTCCGCTAGCTTGGCCTATTTGCCCTTGTAAACAAGCTGTAGCTCCGCTAGCTCTAATCTCCGCTAGCTTTAGCCAGTTGGCTGTTATAAATAAGCCACAGCGTCCACTAGCTTTAGTCCCCGCTAGCTTTAGCCTGTTGGCTCTTACAAATAAGCTATAGCATCCGCTAGCTTTAGCCTGTTGGCTCCTGTAGATAAGCTTTAACCTCCGCTAGCTTTAGCCTGTTAGCTCGTATGGAAAAACTATAGCCTCCTCTGGCTTTAACCTCCGCTAGCTTGGCCTATTTGCCCTTGTAAACAAGCTGTAGCTCCGCTAGCTCTAATCTCCGCTAGCTTTAGCCAGTTGGCTGTTATAAATAAGCCACAGCGTCCACTAGCTTTAGTCCCCGCTAGCTTTAGCCTGTTGGCTCTTACAAATAAGCTATAGCATCCGCTAGCTTTAGCCTGTTGGCTCCTGTAGATAAGCTTTGAGCCTCCGCTAGCAGTTAGCCATTTGGCCCTGTTCGGTAGGCCTAGCTAAGTCACTGTTAGCATTTACTGACTTACTTGCAGCTGTAAACTAGCTTGCACTGGCAGTTTGCCTTCATGGATGTAATGCTTACCGGGTTATTGGAAAAGAAGCAATTTTAGGAATTTTTATGTTGTTTACTTTTGGTTTTACATTTGTTTGAGTTCAGTATTTTGGTAAAGTCCAATGAATGTAGTGCAGTCACAGCAGAAAATAGCTAGCTAATGCAATGGGAATAGTATTGTGAGCAGAATGCTGAACAGAGCTTAAGGAAGGAGCTGAGAGTATTTATGTGAAGTATTGAGAAAGCTTTAAGTCCATTTGATGTGTCAGTGCATTTGTATATTATAGTAATCGCTAATGTGGTAAGAGTTTACATGTGTATGTATGTATAGATATATATCTGTATAGATATGCTGATTATAATGATGTCATGTATTTGTGACTATTTACATGTATATTAGACATGTCTAACTGCACTTCTATGTGAAGAACTAGAATGAGCTTCTATTGAGTATTCATACATGAATTTGTCTCTGTATATTTTTAAATGAAGAGCTAAGCTGTGAAACTGCACGAAGGACAAATGAAAAACCAAAGCCTTAGTTAAAGATTGTATTCAATAAAAAGAAAAAATATATATATACACAACTGGGAGCTTGAACACAAAGCCACTGTTTCACCATCTCCTTCTTTATATATCGTGGCACACAGGAACATGACTGTTCCGCCTCACACACCCTGGGGCGTGTAACAATCAGATAATTCCACAGTGGGATTTGTTTTCAGACCAGTTACATGATGCAGACCAGCCCACCCCAAACTACGCACACACATACACACACACACACACACACACACACACACACAAAACAAAACACGCTAATGTCCTGCAATGTCATAAGGCTATAGGCTGTCAGCGGTGCAGTCATCACTCTACATATTCCAGCACTTCCACACTGATACAAAACAAGAGCAACCAATCAGAAAGCTGGATTCACACAAACACAACCAACACTACAGTACCTTCAGTATAAAGCATGCTCAATACAGACACAACTTCTGTCCAGAGAAGACGACAAGTTAACCCCTTAAAATCCCAGTTAAATCAAACAGCTGATGTATGGAGACAGGGAAATACAACACAGCAAGCTTAAACACCTAAACCTAATCATAGTAGATAAAAGCATATGAAAAGGATATGAAACGTTTTTTGGTCTATTTATGGTCGATGCACTGAAGTAATGTTAGATGTTTGCTTTGGCATTTTCACAAAGCGCATACCACTTTATGTAGTAAAACAGCACTAAGTACCAAATTCACAAAAAAAAAACAAAACACCACAACTACGTTTTTTTAACATTTGTTTTCAGCTTTAGATGGGAGAAAAAACAATTAATCTCAACTGGAGCTTAAAGAGAAAGATTGAAGCAAATATATTAAACTTAGTAGAGCTGCCTGTTGTGTCAGCCGGCAGCAGATTGGATAATATTGAGGCCAGATTCACAGTTGCACTAATCTCTCGAGGCTGAAGTCAGCTTATTCAAATTTCTGTTTCACCTTAAAAAATTCTGCTGTTGCACACTATCGTTCGTCCAGGCGTCTGAACGTAACTGCTACATCATTTAAGGTGGAACAGGAACTGAAGCTATCAGCTTCATCTTAGCTCTATCTTCTGTACAAGTCTCAGTAACAATCAGCAAACCGAGGTTGTATCACTTGAGGTTGGTGTCACCGCTAAATTAGGTTTAACCGCTAAATCACTACAGATATACACTTGAATATAATATAGTTTGAGCATCCTTGTGCTTATTTGCGTGAGTTTTCTTTTGTTTCTTCCTTTACTCCTCTTCCCTACATGCTCACTGCTGCACCTGTAAGTGTGAAAGTAGTCAACCACAGGTTTACTCCGCTCCCCCTGTCACTACCCAATTTGAACCAGAAACCCGATTCAGACTACGGAAACTCTAGAGGGCGCTACCGAGCGAGTCCAAAATGAATGGGTTAATATGGAGCCTATAAGTAAAATCAGTTTGTAACTGCTTAAACTTTTTTTAATATAAAGGAATACATCCATTACCTGAGCACAGAACAGCATAACACATTTTAACACTGCAGTTATTTTTTTGAGTTGTCTTGAGTTATATAAGTGTATAACGGTGCCTCATGTATGTTCATGATGACAGTGAGCACGAACAGCCAATGAGCAGCCCCACTCATCAACCAATCAGCACTCAGTAGCGGTAATGCTAGCTTTCTGCTGGCTAAAACCCATTTGCTGCAGAAAAAAGGAAACATACAGGTTTTCTTTGCTATTTTTCAGTGAAATATATCCTTCTACTTTCTAAAATTAAGGAAACGTTCTGGGCAAGTGATTTAGAAACAATTTTTTAACTTTTCATTTTTAGCCGTTTAGCCGTATTCACCCCTATTCATTGAGGAATCGCTCATGGGCGCCCTCTGGCATTTTGTAGTCCTGTTTCTGATATAACAGGGAAAATAAGAAAAGGCCAGGCTCCTCCCCCCGTACAATTCTGTTTTGCATGTAGGCACCATAATATAATTGCCTGCTTAAAAATGTTTTTTTTTTATTATAAACACATAAATAAATAAATTGATAAAGTAACAAGCCTGTTTTGATAATGTAGTGAGTAAAAAGTACAGATTTGTCTTTTGAAATATAGTGAGTAAATGTAAAAGGTTTTAAGTGACAGAAATACTCAAGCAAAGTACAGATAATTACTTAAGTACAGTAACGAAATAGAAGTACATCATTACTTCATTACTTGCCACCTCTGATGTTTATTCTTTCTATTTCCTAATTTGATTCATTTTAAGGCTCTGCTTGTAATCAGACCTGAAATGATTTCAATGATTTCTGTTTTTTGTTGTTGTTACTGTTGAAAATGAGATACAAATTGGTGTGATTGGAACAACATTATAGCTTGATAGTCAGCAGGTATGAACAGTATTTCTAATAAATGTGATCTTACTTGAAGGTTTTTCAGTGACAGTGAGGTGAACAGTAACCCCCACATCTCCTGCTTTGAACCAGTACCAGCCAGCATCACTCTTCTGCAGACCCCTCATCTCCACATTAATGGATCCTCTCCAATCATCATTGACCAGCACTGCTGAATTCTGAGATGTGTCAGTCCTCCCCACTTTGTAGCAGCTCCAGTCTGTAAATCTGCACCACTTCTTCCATTGCTTTTGATGTTCAGCACTGTAGAGACACTGGACACTGACACTGCCCCCTTCCTGACCACTAACTCTGCTGTTTATCACTGACACAGCAGGATCTGAATAAAGAGGCAGAGAATGAGTGGTGAAAATACATCCTCCATCATAAGTGACACGTTACAAGCTTTAAGTGACATTGAACATATTCAGCCTCACACAAAGAGACTTCTTACCTGCACTGACTGTCAGGTATAAATAATCCCTGTCATCAGGGGTCTCTGTCCCACCAATTTCCACAGCACACCAATAATATCCAGAGTCAGAGTCTTGGAGGCTCTTCAGTTCCACAGTGAACATATTCTGGGTTGGATGATCAGTGACTGATGTTCTTCCACTTGTGTCTGTATAGGCTACTATTTCACAGGAGGACCAGTACTCCCCCTTACACCAGTATTTAATGTTTGATTTGTATTTCTCATCATAAAAACATGGAATACTGAGAGATCCTCCACGTTTTACAGCTAAATTCTTCAGTGTCTTCATGCTCTCAGAATCTGCCGAAAAGAAGCCAAAATATACCACAGCCTCAGTCCTACACTCTTAAAACTATTCTGCAAGGGTCCATTAGTATAAGCAATGATTATACACTTACTTTCCACTTTATTAGGCACCCTTATCTTGTATCTACATTCGTTGTCCATTTTATCAAAACTAAATAAACAAACTTATTAGGAAGGCTGGCTCTGTTGTAGGAGTCAAGCTGGACTCTTTGGAGGTTGTGGCAGAACAAAGCACACTCAAAAAGCTATTAGCCATCTTAGATAACACCTCACATCCCCTGCATGCTACACTGGATAGACAGAGAAGCACATTCAGTGGCCGACTGTTACAGCTGCGCTGTGTTAAAGAGCACGTAAGATCTTTTTTACCCACTGCTATAAGGCTCTACAAAGAGTCTGCTGACTGCAGAGACAGTACTAATCTCTCCGCTTACCATATAGGTCCACTTTGTAGTTCAACAATAAGACACTGTAGTCCATCTGTTTCTCTCAAAAATGTGTTAGCTCCCCTTTACCCTTTACTTCAATAGTCAGAACCCACACAGTGCAGGTATTATTTGGGTGGTGGATCATTCTTAACATTGACGCTGACACAGTAGTGGTGTGTGTGTGTGTGTGTGTGTGTGTGTGTGTGCTGCAGTTGATTACACCCTGCAGCAAGGCTATGTCAGTGTCACTGCTGGGCTGAGAATAGTCCACCAACAAAAATATCCAGTCAACAGCGTCCTGTGACGAAGGACTAGACGATGACCAACACAAACTGTGCAGCAACAGATGAGCTATCGTCTCTGACTTTACATCTACAAGGTGGACCAACAATGTAGGAGTGTCTAACAGAGTGGACAGTAATGAACACAGTCCAGCAGCACTGCTTTGTCTGATCCAGTCATACCAGCACAACACACACTAACACTCCACCAACACATCAGTGTCATTGCAGTGCTGAGAATGATCCACGACCCAAATAGTACCTGCTCTGAGGTGGTCAGGACCTGACCATTAATGAACAGGGTAAAACAAACAAACTATACAGAGAAATACATGGATTCCAATTTGTCTCAAAAATGCTGTGGACCTGATAACATTGGACCCCTTTTGTACATACAGAACCATTACAACTTGATTTAACATTTGGATAAATGTGTCTGTGCCACTTGGTAAACAATCACATCCACAATGTTATGATGATCAGTTATTAAAATGTTTTAAAAATGATTCTACAGAAATATTTCTATTGCTATAAATTACAGGGCTTTTTGATACTACATTGAGCCCTTCTTGCTAAGGGTGAACCCAGAAACAACTTCACAACTATCAGTGTCTGTAAAATGTTCACTGCTAAGTAAAGACACTTCTTGTGAAACACATTAAGTTAGATATAAAACATTAAAAAGAAGAACACATCAAAGATGTCAGTGTCCACCTGCACCCTGACATGGATGAGTTAAAGCATTTAAAGCAGTGAAAGTGTAAAGAACACAAATTCAGCGCAAAGGAATGATGCAGCATTGATCTTACCTGAGATACAGAGGAGTAACACAAATAGAACTAAAGAACTCATGAGTGAATGAAAGTGCATGTTTCTTTAAGAGGCTCTAGTGACAAATACTCTTCCTGCCTCTGAGTGAAGCACCTCCACTTCAGTGCTTTTCCTGTCCCCCCACCCCCTCTTTGCTAGTACTCATTCTATCTAATGCATAGGGGAAAAACATCAGTAAAGTGCAGAACTCAAAGATTTTCCAGTGACCTTTAGAGCATCATGCTTAATTAATTAACTAATTAATGAGTTACAAAATTTTATTTTGCCTCCTTCGATATTAATAACCAGTCATTTACAGAAGTCTTAGGTAAGTATGTGTGAACTAATTAGCTCTAAGGCTGGCTTTACACAGTGAAACTTCCATGCAACTACTTGCTTGAAACCCATGTGAAACTAAATTGCACTTCAGTTGCATAATATAAGTGTCTTGGAATTCACTTGAAACTCAGTCGCAACAGTTGCAGGTGTCTCAACTCCATCAAACAAGTTTAACAGTCATTCAGAATGCTGATGACGTGATAATTACAACCCCACTTCCAAAAAAGTTGGGGCGCTGTGTAAAATGTAAATCAGAACAAAATGCAATGATGTGCAAATAATTTAAACCCTATATTTAATTGAAAATAGTACAAAGACAACATATCAAATGTTGAAACTGAGAAATTGTTTTTTTCTTTTAATTTGCCCATTTTGAATTTGATGCCAACAACACGTTCCAAAAAAGTTGGGATGGGGCAACAAAAGGCTGGTAAAGTTGCGTAATAATAATAAAAAAAAAACACCTGGTAGTTAATTGGCAACAGGTCAGTAATATGATTGGGTATACAAAGAGCATCTCAGAGAGGCTGAGTCTTTCAGAAGTGAAGATGAGGAGGGGTTCACCACTCTGTGAAAGACTGTGCAAGCAAATAGTGCAACAATTCAAGAATAACATTTCTCAACATAAAACAGCAAAGAACTTTTGCTTTTCATCATCTACGGTACATAATAACATTAAAAGTTTCAGAGAATCTGGAGAAATCTCTGTATGCAAGGGACAAGGCCAAAAACCAGTATTTGCTGGCCATGATCTTTGGGCCCTCGTATGGCACCGCACTAAAAAACAGACATGATTCTGTAGAGGAAATCACTGAATGGGTTTAGAAACACTTCTGAAAACCACTGTCTGTGAACACAGTTCATTGCTGCATCCACAAATGCAAGTTAAAACTCTAAAAACGCAAAGAAGAAACCATACATAAACAGGACCCAGAAATTCTGCCATCTTCTCTGGACCCAAACTCATTTAAAATGGACTGAAGTGGAAAAGTGTCCTGTGGTCCAACAAATCATGGACACTGTGTCCTCTGGGGTAAACACCACTCAGCTTGTTATCAGTGCACAGTTCAAAAGCCAGTATTCATGATGGTATAGGGGTGCATTAGTGCGCATGGCATGGGTGACATGCACATCTGTGAAGGCACTATTAATGCTGAACAATATATACATGCTTTGGCAACATATGCTGCCGTAAAGACAGCGTCTTTTTCAGGGAAGGCCTTGTTTATTTCAGCAAAACAATATAAAATCACATTCTGCATGTATCACATGCTAAACTGACCTGCCTGCAGTCCAGACCTGTCACCCACTAAAAACATTTGGTGCATTATGAAATGAAAAATACGACAAAGGAGACCCTGAACTGTTGAGCAGCTGAAATCCTACATCAACAAGAATGGTCAAACATTTTACTTTCAAAACTGCAGCAGTTGGTCTCCTCAATTCCCAAACGCGTGGTAAACATGCCCCTGTCTCAACTTTTTTGGAAGGTGTTGTTGGCATCAAATTCAAAATGAACAAATATTTAAAAAATAAAAACAATAAAATTTCTCATTTTCCACATTTGACATATTGTCTTTGTAGTATTTTCCTTTAAAAATACGGTTTATTGATGATCTTTGTTGTTAGATGATTTATTTTCTCCTCTCTTGATGTCCTTTATTTCTACAAATAGCTCAAATTTGGTTGGCATTCAAATGAGCGATATACAAAGGCTATAAAATGCTTGACATATGTAAATAACAACCTTGCTGATGACTTTATTCAAGAAGAATTCTACAGTGTACCCCAAAAAGTGTGTTTTGCTAATTTGGCTAAATAATGGAGTAACTGAATGTGTTCCATGCAACTTTTGTTGCTTCTGAATTGCTTTATGTAACTGTCAAGTTGCATGAGAATTATGTTGCATGCAACTCAACAGGCAACTACTAGCATGAAAGTTTCATTGTATAATGCCACCATAAGACTTATTACCTCTGCTAGATGTAAAGGATGCAAACATCTAGCATGATACAAAATACATGTAACTAAGCTAAGAAAAGCGATAAAAAACTAAAAATGTTTTGAAAATCATGGCCATTATTAAACACATACTAGATAAACATTTCATGCTACATACTCATTTTCTGTATAGGCCTATAGCTTGAAATGTTTGCATGATCACAAATCAGAAAACTGCTGAGGGTAAACAAATGCAGCATGCTGTCTGACAAAGAATCTTTTTATTAAGCAAGTAAAGAAACTGATTTATCATTTCAGAAAAAGAACATCTCTAGAACATTGTTACAAGTGGTGAGAATTTCCAGTATAGCTTGGCTGTACCACTCCACTGTGTGTGTGAATGGTTAATGTGTGTAAGCTGCAGTCGTCACAGTGCTGCTTCACTCTTACCACACAGAAGTGTGTGTGTGAAAGAGGCCTAAGTGTCACTTCAAAGTATGTTGGTATCATTAGACTTGTTTGCGATTTGGGAGAGACAACATGGCTGTGCAGGAATGTCTGTTAGATAATTTCAGTCTTTCTGCTGTTGGAATGTTGTTCGATCACACTGAACGTTCAGATAAGAACAGAGAAGCTTTCAAGGCAGAATGATAAACAGTGTTTAGTAAACATTTAGTTCTATTTTTGAACCGTACAAAAATTCCTGCTTCGCATGTTGTTTGGTGGATGTGATGAAACCCAGTTTGAACCAAAACGAATGTCAAAAGGAAGCTTTAGACGTTTAAATAATGTGGGTGTTTCACCGGAACATTTGTTGTCATTTAACGACGTGACTTTATTCGACCAGCTTTTAAATGTCAAAATTGTGATTGTTACAGAGTAAATAACAGTGGTCCATTTCAGAGTTTCCAAACTCACGAAGAACCTCACGAAAAAGGATACTGTCTTCTATTATTAAACAAACATTATTATGTTATTTTAAATTTAAAGGTTTTCTCTAAAAATGTGTGCAAAGCCTGTCATAAACTGTCCCTCCAAACTGAGGTCTTCAGAGACTCACTCCAAACTGGCAAGATGTCTGGGACCAGAAACCTACAAATGTGATTTTTTTTTCTGTTAAAAATAAAGTAACCACTGTATTATCTTAGTTTAATGTCATTTCAATGTATTACGGTCCTTTTCTTTAAAACAATCA